TTCAAAGCAAACACAGAAGGAATCCCCTCAGAGAAAAGGTTGGGCTGAATGTGCATGAAGAAAGGCTTGGGAAGTGCAGAATCAGTGAGCAGCAGTTTGGTTCATGCAGTGCAGTTCCATGCGTTTGCTGCGCAGCTGATGTCACCACCAGCTCCGCAGTGTTCCTGTGTGTCACAACACCTGTGGGAGAACATGCCCTGGCTCCACCCCGGGAAACTCAGAGCTGTGCTTCTGGCCCCACCAGTTATAAGAAAACAAAAGCTACCTGGACAGGTAAGTGGCACTGTTCGTGGTGGGGAAGGTCTCAAAAACCAGAGCGTGGGCTACAGAGCCTCCGTCACCTGTTACAAACACTGTGTACACAGCTCTGACCCAACGGGACACCTGAACCCACACCCGTGGCACTGTGATCCTGGGGCCACAACACAGTCACCCTGGCAGACAGGATGGCAGGCAGGGCAGGGTGAACAAAAGGATCGTGCTGGACTTGCTGCTGGGCCTGAAATCTGGAATGACTAACTTACAGGGGAAACCGTTCGTGCAGTGTTTGTGAGCTGCTTCCTCATTCAGCCACTGCTGACAGGGATTTGCCAGCTAATCTCTTGGTCCTGATGTTGTTTTCCTTGGATACTGTAGCCTCTGTGTGTGTTTCTGCGTTTTACTTGAATGAGTGCAATCCTTAGCATCAAGTTTCTCATGCAAATAAGCATGATAACAAAGGCAAAACCTCTCCACGAGTGATTTCTGGACGCATTCAGGCCCCAGCTCAGAGAGGTGAATTAGCAGGGGAGCAAGAATACAAGTAATTGCATCAAATGAGAATTTCCATGCACTGAATGGAAGCCACTTCTGTACCTCAGGGCTCAGTCTAGAAACTGTTCTATTGCCAGTAGATTCATCTCCTGATTCTTTGGGAAGAGCAAGAGGAGCAGACTACAGACAGCCTGGTGTTTCCATGTGGAGCTCATTCCATGGGCACCCTGGAGTCCATGCTCTGGTGTGCAGAGGGTTTGGGGAGAGAAGCCTGAGATCAGGGGTTGTGTTGGCTCCTGGGCCAGAAAACAACTGTAGGACAAGACCTGAATTCCCTCAGGGTCAGGCAGAGGCACAAAAAAAGAACTACTGGTAACAAAAACAACCCTGTCCGTAGCCAGGAGGGTAACCAGGACACAGGCACAGGGAAACCCCTGTCCAGTGCCCACTGAACTACAGGGAGACATCTACCCCTGGGCTGACACCAGTTCTTACAGCTTGAGTCACATCAGGCACAAACCTCTGCCACTGCTGGTTTCATCTCAGCACCACAACCACAGCAGACACACGAGGCACAGGTAAAATCCTACTTGTTTTTTCTGTACCCACTACTCTAATGGCACCTGTGCAAGAGCAGCCAGGACAGAAGAGACAGCAGCAGCAGCACACCAGCCTCAGGAAAGCATCACTGCCAGGTTTCCCCCATACCTGTACCTCCCCACTCGCTGTGTGCAGGGCCAACATCCACCTCGTGCTGCAGGGGTGACCCAGCAGGGTTGGGATGCACTGGCAGTGAAGTCACATGCACAATCAGCAGCAGAAGGCCCTGCCCCTGCAGCACTGGCAGCTCGCAGAGCCCACGGGCAGCCTGTCCTCACAACTCCTGCTGCAGGCTCAGGGGCTGCAGGCTCAGGGGCAGCAGGAGGTGTGCTGGACTTGGGCTGCGTTTGCTCCCCCCAGAGCACTGCTGCTGGCACCAGAGATGGCCTCTGTGACTCTGGACGTAAAAAGCAACAATCAAAGCTGCAAGCAAAGAAAAAGAAGGGGAAGGAGCTGAGGAAAACAAGTTACAAAGGAAAATCACACTGGTACCAGTGAAGTAAAGCAGAAAAGGGTAACAGACAGTCCAGGCTGAAGTCCTCACGCCAGGAGCAAACCACAGAGTGTTCAGTGGGACAGTTCACTGGGAAAGAGCTCCTCCATGGCATGGCCAGCTGGGGATTTGTTCTGAACCTACTCAAGGGCAGCAGCCTGTTCCCCACATGCACAGTACTCACTCCACCCCTGCCCTGCCCTGTGAGTGCCCGAGCAGAGCTGAGCTGGGGCAGGGTCGAGTGTTTGCCCTGCCAAGCTGTGCTGCCCAGGGCAAACGTCTCCAGCCCCCACACCTCTGGCCTGGGTGCTGCCATGGCATCCCAATCAACAGATTTATCCGGGATTAACAGAGAAATTTTAACTGAGTGACCCTTCAGGACTCCATGGCAGGACAGATCTCTAAGCACACACTGAAGCCCAGTCAGGTCTCAGCTGTTTCACTGATATAGAAGAGCTTCCAACCACCAAAACTGTGGCAGAAAGAAACAATTTTACTTCTAGAGTGCTTGTTTCTTGTCTGGAGATCCCAGTAGTCGATAGTAAGCCAGAGAGAATGACAATAAATCCCACAACTAAGGCAGAATGTTACTTGCAGGAACAAAAGCAAATCACACTGATCCCAAGTGTGGAAGGAAAGAACAACCCTCCCAACAAAAACCCACAGAAAGCATCCAGCAAGGAGGGAAACCCTCATCTGCAGCACAGCATCTCTGCCTTTGCTCCTGTCACTGCTCTTTGCTTTGGAGGTGGAAGTCCATTTGCTTTTCTTGTTTTCTGCAAGACACATTTGGATGGTGTATTTGATCAGTGGCCACAGCAACCACCGAGAGGCCAAGTTCAAACCAGAGCTCATGTTTCAGAAGAGGAGGCAAAGAGCCCTAACCTCTAAAACCACTCTACAAAGTCATTCCCTACCCAACTCCTGCTTTTGGCTGCACTGTGTAGACGTGGGGAACTCCAGTGCCCCCAGACTGGGACAGTGTGCTCCCAGCCCTGCAGGTGGAGCAGACACCCCAGCTGGGCTGATGAAACCATAAGGGTTCAAAATACCCTGAACTTCTTGGAGTCTCTCGAAAACTAAAACTTCCCACCCCAGGCTGGCAAAATAAAGTGGCCTTAGAATGAGTTTAATTTGTGTTATACTAATATTTAGGTATCTTTGCAGCAAGACAGAACTCCAAGGTAAATGACAAGAACATTCCTCCTACTCTTTACCCGTGGGTCAGGAGTCAGTGGTGGCAGTGGCCAGGGGAGGGGAACAGGAGTGTGACTGGCAGCAAGGAGATCCTCTGCCCTTTGGTCTGCCCAAAGCCTGCTCAGAAGTCTTCACGGGGGAAATCCCATGGAGTTTTCCCATGAAGAGGTCAGTATCAGGTATCCACCCCGAAAGGAGAAGTCGAAGCCTTTCTTTGTGAGCATCCACGGCAGCTGCAACATCGTGGGGGGCACTGGGGACTTCTCAGGGCTCACTCAGCTGAGCCACAGCCTCTGAAAACAGGGAGGAGACTAGAGATCTGGGGCAACAGCTCCGTGTGGCACCAAAGGAGTGGCTGTTTCAGTGTCAGCACTTGCTGCCACCTGGTTTTCCAGCCCTGGGCACTCCCACCGCGATGGACGAATCCTGGCTCCGCCAGCTAAGTCCAACAGCTGAAGGCAAAGCAGGATTTGGAGTCTCAATGAAAAATACCTATCTTATGGCTTTTCCCAGCACAGTCACTGCTGCCTATCCATTCACCTCTGCCCACGACTGCCTTCCCCAGTCTCCTGTGCAGGACAAATGGGCAGCGGGGAGAGCTGAGCATGCTGCAGGGAATGCTGCAGGGAATGGCTTGTGCCTCTGGCACCACAGTCGTGGCAGCTGTCCCTAAATGATGGACCAGCATGCAGAGCTGGAAGTGCAAGTGTTCAGTAACTAAAAATGGGTAAATTGAGCTTGCTTTGGTATATGAGCTTCTGGGGAGGAGGGGGAGCCACTGCCTCCACCTGTGCCCGTGCCCTTCAGCGAGGTCCTGCTCTCCCAGCTCAGTGCTCCTCAGCAGCCTCAGCCAGAGCTGAGCACGATGGAGCTACACCACACCAGACCCTGCACCTTGCACCCAAGAACCTGCCAGTGCTCCACAGAGGGGCTCAAGCACCACCCCTGTCCTCTCCCCAGGAGACTGAGGTCCAGCCCTTTCTGTTTGGTTTCCAGTGCCGAGTTTTGGCCACACTGGGAGATGCAGAGCATCGGCAATGCCAGGCAAATCCCCAGGAGCTGTGGGTGCTCAGCACCTCTGCCATGGAGCCCTTGGGCTGGATGCATCCCTGCCAGCAGCCAGACTGGAGGGACTGGCGAGTTAAACGTCTTGCTCGGGGCAGCACAGCAGTCAGTGGCAGAGGATGAAGACTCCAGCCCCACGTCTGCCTGTCCTCTCGCTCTGCTTGTACCACGCAGCCACTCGAGGGAGATGGAGCTGCAGGGTGAGACCACATGCTCTGTCACCTCCTCGGCTCAGGTCTGGTCAGCTCCTGCCCGACACTGTCCCTGCCTCCTCTCTGAGACAAGGTGCCGAGCCCCAGCACCCCAGGAACGAGGGCGAGCTGACTCAGCTGATGGCAGCTTGACTCCCACTGTGGCTCTCAAGGAGGACAGGAGGGAAAGCAGCAGTTTCTTAGCCTGAGCAGTAAGAGCTCTGCGAAAGCCACAGACCTGCAGTCCCATCAGAGGAGAGAAAATGGCATGCCATGGGATCCTCCCGTGTTGCAAAGTTAATATCCATCCCTACACCTACAGAAACAGCCTCCCCCCAGCACAGTGCGAGGAGGGACACTGCTGCGAGTATTCTGCAAAAGAAAACCATAATGCTCAGAAAAGTATCTCTATTTAAATAATCCAGTTGAGATGTTCGCAGTTAATGGAAAAAATACAACATATACTGTTACCTACACTGAGAAAAGAGCAGATCACCGGGGAGAAGAGCGAGTGTTCATCGGTTCGAACATTGCTAATCACATACATATATATATTTGTCCATATATATATGTACAGCACCAGAGACTGTCAGACCCGTTCCCCTGCAGTCGCTGCAGTCTGTGATCGTGAAACGTTTCAGTCGCAGTATAAAATATGGCCATAAAAAATCCTCCTCGTGGCTGTCGGCGCCGCGCCGCGCTCACTTGCTGCCCGTGAGCACCGTGGTCACCGTGCTGGGCCTCGGCCTGCGCTCCCCCCCGACCCCCGGCGCGGACGCCACCCGGCTGCACAGAGGGGACGGAG